TGATCAAAGAACGTCATGTAAAAAGCGGAGGAAAAATTTGCCAAGGGATTTGACGACGGAACGGCCAGAATTTCCCTCTCCGCGATGTGTACAGGAAATTGAAAAACACGTGTTAAGAAGAAACGTTCTTTGACAAAAAAAGAAAACTACGAAAATCCGTTTTTAAATTATTGCAAAAAATCCAAAAAGAAATGTTTTATCAAAGAATGTTTTTTCTTGGATTTTTCGGAATAATTTTTAAAACGGATTTTCGTAGATTATTTCCCCCCTCAAAATAACTAATCCATGAATTAATTTACTTGCGCCAAAAAATATTTTCTTTTCCTTTAGAGTTTAAAGACATTTTAAACGATATTCATTTTATGAACTCTTGATAACGTGACCTTTGAACTTCGACACCGGTTTCGAGCTTTGGAGACAGATATATCGCGCGTGCACATCTGTTTCCCGCTATGATGGAACCAAGCCACGTCTGTTGCAGAGAGGTTTTCCTTCTTTACGATACATATTTTTTTAATTCTAACCTTCATGGTACCGTATACCAGGATTAAACCCATTTTGTTTTATACGAGAACATGTACTTTCTTTAGTTCATGCACTGCACATGCGATTCTCGAGGTTACTGGAAACCAAAAGTTGCGGGAAACTTGCTTTGCCTTTCTAAAAAGACAATCAAATTGGAGCTGCGAAAATTCGCTCTATGCCAGCTGCCCGAATGACACTCACGTGATACACAATTCGCCAAAAAAGTGATCTCTTCCGACGTCGGCGCAAAACTCGCCTTTTTTGGCGGGATCGTTGTATGAAATTCCCTGACTTTTGAAGATTTTGACTAAAACACTTAAATTCCCTAAATTTTTTGGTCAATTTCCAAATTCCCTGACTTTTTCCGGTTTTCCAGGTAGCGTGGCAACCCTGGCATACGCTGCAATTTTTTACAATCCTCAAAACAGAAGAATACCTTATTTTGACTATTTGGTTACTTTCCTTATATTTAAGCCATTCCGAATATTATTTCTTAGAAAGCTAATCTGTGTAAAAACACACCCATTTTTGGAAGTTTATCTATACTTCAGCAGTTACTGCAACTATATTATTATAAATATTCATTCATATATTCATAATATAAGGATAACGATCATAATAAACACGAATATAAACTGACCACGCGGAACGAGAATGCAAATTATTAAAATCTTGATAGAAATTCAAACATGTGTAGTATTTGGGTGGGAGGAAAAGAATACCGAATGTACCAGAATTTTCTACCGTTTTCGCAATTCTTTGACCAACAGAACAATGTGCTGTACTCGCACCCGCACCATAGGTTACGTTAATGCAGAGAAAGGGGGGAAAAGCAATTTCCAGGAGTATGATTCACCATCTTGACATTACATGTACGGAAGAAAAGTTGTTTATTTAGTTTCGGCTTTGGTACAGGGAAAAATGCGTGTTCTTTAAAAAAAAGCACTAAAAGCAAAAAATAAGCACTAAAAACAAAAAAATAAAGGCTTTAAAGAAAAAGTAAGGGCCTTTATATTTTATTTTCAAATATAAGGACTTATAAGCACTTGTAAGGACCGCTACGAAGCCTGTTTACACATATATTTAAACTCCTGAACATTCCCTAACTAAAATCATTCTTCCATTAATAAAGATTCATCATGGATTTATACTTAAGTTTCCATAAACCTCTCTTCTATGTTTATTCAGTTAAAAACACAAACTCTGTTTTGCAGTAAAAAAATTTAATGAAGGTTGCCAAAATGATTTCAATAAATTATTCGCTGAACCATAAAGTTTAAATAATCTCATTCATGCTCCATGTTCTTTAATTAATTCCTAATGTTAATTTAATGTTTTTTAATTAATTCTTCATGTTCTTTAATTAACTCCTGTGAGAAATTATATGTGATTGCATGTGCATTAACTACAAGCATGTACAAAAAATTCATCAGCAATTTAAAATACTAAGCAATCATTTTAGCCTTTCTCTGTTTTTGTATTTTAAAAGCATTTAAAATTATATTTTCTTTAAACTAAATTCTGTGCATTTAACCCTTATCTCTCCGTTGGCTCTGATATGGAGATATTAGCAACTTTGGTGGCTCCGCTGCGGAGCCAAATGTTTTTAACATAATTATGCTTAAGCTGCTATGTCACTGTTGGCATTCACCATTGTTACCTGCACTTAAAACATACTAAGTCTCTAATATTGAGTTAAATTACTTTCTGACCTTCCTTATGTTTAAAAACATGGAGAGATGAATGAATGTTAAGATGAAAATTTTGACTGAGTTATAGTGAAGATATACATTATTTCTAAGCATTTAAAAATAATTTAGATGGCAATGTAGTTTATTATTCTGATACCTCATTAGTGGTAGCAAAATTATACCATCAAAGAGATGAAGAATGAAAATTATTGAAAGTGAAAACAAAGATTTGTTAGAATGCTTAGATGAATGGTGTGATATTAGAAGAATTAGTTATTCCAGAAAGAACACATTTTATTTTAACACCAAGAGTCACTGGACCACAGTTCCTCCAAATATTGTACAGCCAATACAATATTTTAAATAGTTTTTAACAGATGCATTAGTAAAGGAAATTATAAAAGAAACCAACAGTTATGGAGAAATTTTTTTAAGCTTGAAAATTGGCAAATGTGGTGTTTTAGGCACTTTTCAAAGAGAAATAAATAAAGCCCTTTCCTGGCATAGTGATTTCGCCTAAGCATATATCGATGATATTACAACTTTTTTCAAACACATTCGAGAAACACCTGAAGGATTTAGAAATGATTTTAAGGAACTGAAAAATTTTAAGGAGGAAAATTCTGTCAGGTTCAGTACATGTGATTTTGTAGCTAAGCAATGGATTACTTAGGTCATACGATAGGAAACAGTAAACATGGCCCAGATCCTACTAAGACTGCAGCAATTAAACAGCAGATGGACCCACGAATAGAAAAGAAGTCTATTGGATTTCATGGAATTTTATTGCATATATATTCCAAACTATGTAGAGATAGCTGGACCTTTAACGGATTTGACGAGGAAAAAATGCAACAAATATTGCACATGGGGCTAAATCAAAGTGGGGCTAAATCAAAGAAGCAACTTTCTATTTCTAGAAACTGAAAAATATTCTATGTCAGGGGACATCTTTGGCCATACCTGATTTCAATATGCCATTTCAGGTGCATTTGGATGTCAAATGTTGTGGTCGGCTGTTGTCTAACTCATAGGAATGTAGGAGTGTATTATAAATCAATTGCAATTGCATCCTGAAAATTTTTCGATGCTCAGAGGAGCTGGGGAGGAAAGGAAAAGGTGGCATGGATAGTTTTGTTCAGGCTCCAGAATTTCATAAGTGAATTTTGGGAGGAACAGTGAAGATCATTATAAAATGCAATCCTTTGAAGTATCTCACCAAAACCACATCCAAGAGTCCAAAATTAACATGCTCAGCTCTTTCTCTGCAAAGGTGGTATTTAAAAATTACGCTTTGTCTAGGAATGCAACATCAGGCAATGGATGATCAGGCAAGTTTAATGTGAAAACCATGGATATTTATGTTGTGTAGCATATTTTTAGGTCCATATCAAAGTAAATAAAATGTTTTGTGTAATGTAGTGTATTTTTGTAAATATATTTACTTTATTTATATCTTTTGTCAAGCAAAACTCACACAGAGACTTTGGTATCAATGGTCACTTTTTCCCTCTAGTAATTATTAGGGGGGTTTATATATAAATATGTAGTGGTTAAATTTAGCTCCCTGTACTTGATCGATTAAGGGTGTGAAAAAAAATCAGTAATCCAATCAGCCATCACGAACCTTTTGAAACTTCTGATGAACTTAGCAATACTCAAGTAAGAACCTTGAGGACTGAAAGTGGAGAAGTGTTCCATGTGAACAGCAGTTGAACATGAGTTACTCGGTCCTGCGCGATAGGAGAAATCTGTTCCGAATGGAGACACCGAGCTTTGCCCAATAGAACTGTGTTTGTTCCCTGTTGACCAAAAGGGAATGGTGTTAATATTTCCTAACCTGGACAAAGAGACTGGAACTTCAGCTCCAAATGCCATAACGCAACTGAACTTGGGTTAGTGGGAAACCGGCGAAGAGTTATCTTTTCTTTGTAAGAAGTCATGTCCCTGGAATTAGATCATCTTGAGGTAGGGATGGTGAGTTTGTAAAGTCGTAATTGACTTTTGCGGTGTCTGATACACTCCTGTTGACCCTTGCATATCTGAGGGAGAGATTATGATTTTGTGCCAGACTGTACCCACAGGCATGAAAATGAATGAATTCATGAACTCGTTTCTGATAAACGTTTTGGAAAATTAGTCTTAAAAGTCAAATTTCCATCTTATTGGGGGGAAGGAGTGTAATACTCATAACACTGGTGAGGAAGGAGGGAATAAAAAGACCTTTTCATAACATGTCTTTAAAGTGTTTAATTCTACATTATGGAATGACTGTAAGAAAAGATTTATGTGCAATATTCTTTAAAATGCAATTCACGTTTATCTAGAAATAGTTTCTCAAATAACTTGTGAGCTCATGATCTCACATAACACGCTATTTGAAAATTCAGCTTTGAAAATTTAAAAACTGAGAGAAGTGGAATTGCTTTTATGATCCGAGCAATTAATTTCACAAGTAAATGAAGATGATTGCAAAGAATAATGTTTTCAGCTGATGGTAAATTGTTCTTAACAAAATACTGAAAACATTATTTCAAAAGATAATTTTGTGGAGTTTCTAGACTAATACCTGAGTAAACATAGGGTCATATAGTGACCTATGCAAGCTGCTACAGCATATAACACAGAAAACAAGAATTTATTGCATATCATGATCTTCCCAAGAGAAAATACATCAAAGCGGACCTGCATCCAACTGACAACATTAATCAAAATAACAAATGTATATAATAAATATATTTCTACAAAACAGATGTTATGAAAATAGATCTTAATTTTTCTTACCTTTCTGTATTATTTAACACTACAGCAAGAGTATGTGCAGTTTCAGTAACTAATTTGGTTTCACTTGACCAAAATGATAGATTAGACTCTAATTTTCCAATTACGAAATCTAAAGTCCACAATCCAGCTTCTGTGTCTTTTCCAAATGCTTGAGTTAAAGTCAAACTCAACTAAAATTGCAAAAATTCTGTTATCAAATTTTCAACAACACAAATTAATAAATTTCAAAAATACTAAACCATGTATAGTTTTTTTTAATAATACACACTTTTAAAAAAATGTGAGATAATGCTTTTAATGCAAAATAAAAAAGATTATAAAAATGAAAATTTAACAATTAAATCTGAAGTTCCTTCCTCAGAGCATCTCATCTGAACTAAATAAATAAAATGCAGTAAATGCAATTCTGCCTTTCAAGGGCCAGAGTTTTTATAATACTAAACAAGAAAACATTAAATATGTCACCTATACAAAATATTCTCAAATATTAAATACATATATTTCACAAATGAAACAAGACAATTACATTTATATCTTCTAAACCAAAAATTAATTTAATATAGAATGAAATTTTTTTTATATTACTATCTTATGCTTAAATGGGAGTCTCAATCAGTACCAAAAATGACAATCACTTGCAACTATGTCTTAACCCTCAACATGTTTTTTATGAGTTAATTATTATTTTTATGGATGTTTGAGATATACCAAATAATGAGACAACAGTTGCACAATTAATTTACTGTTTCAGATCTAACAACTGCTTTGAATCTATACTGCTTGCAATAATAGACAATATTTACCAAAAGGGGCAAAGTTAGGGGAAAGACACTTTGTTTAGAAATCAAACTGTCTTTTAAAATTCTAGTTATGTTTTGCATTCAACCATAATATATACCCTGATTAACACTCAAAATGTTTATTCAGAAAACAAAGCATTAAGCTAAAATGTATTAATTATGGTTGAAGCTTAGTAAATAAGAATTAGGAAATATACCTATAAAAATAAATGAAGTTTACTTCAATTTTGTTGCATTTTCATATTAACATGGATAATGATAAACATACAACATTTTTTTCATCCAATCATCGTCTATGATTTTTGACCACCTTTAAAGGCAACTTTTCAATTCCTTTTGAGGAAGTCTTAATTTTATGAAAAATATTCATTTACTAAGTTTTCAACCTCTTTTTAAGTTCTTGCCTACAAAAAAAAAAAAAAATGCTGGACCTAAATAACAACATCAAGACCCTTTCATGGATGAGTATGGATTTCCAATGAGTCATTTTTTATCTCAATATGCTACTGTCGAGTCACATTTGCATTGCATGATTTAACATTATTCTACTGAAGAATCACATCATGTTTACCAATAAATACTGGTGGCCTGAGCGTATGATTTCAAATAGGTGATGTCAATATTAAAGAGTTGATTATTTTATAATAGTTTGAAATAAATCCCATCTTCCACATCTTACTATATGCACAGCAAAATCTTCTTTGAATGCAACTCTGGTTTTTCTGCAAGACTTGGCTTCTCTTTCAGACTCAAACAGGGTCTTATCAGAGTAATACCGTATTTGACGGCATATAAGACACACCCTTATTTAGAAGGCCACATACATGTAGATGTAGAAAAAGTTATGTGTGTCTAGACCTTTATCCGGGCTAAAAATAGCATTCAGTACTGAAAGTTAACATGTGTCCTTCACGTATATGATGCAGGTAACTTTTTTGAGACCAAATTTAGGAACAAAAGTGTGTTTTATATGCCATCAAATACGGTATTAGCAAAGAGAATACTTTAAAAAAATACAGGTGTAATATACTCCAGTTAAGAAGTACTCCATTTATTTTTTGCAAACAAAGAAGTACAAATTGATATTTGTTGCTGACAATTTTCAGCTGCAAATTCACGTAGAAACTAGTAAAAAAGAATTGTTATTCATTTTAAGTAATTTACTGCTGCTGATTGAGCATGGTGAAGCCTCTCTGTTATTTCTTCCCATGTGATAGATTATTTGATTTCAGTAATATTTTATTTTTTCATTTTCCAGCTCTTTTGACTGCTAACTTATAAATTCTTCTTTAAAATCCTCACAACTTCTTAAATACTCTTGGCATTGACACTGTCTAACAACACATGAGTATACTGATTTCTCAATTGGCTTCTGCAGCATTTTCATGCAAAACTCACCATACTGAAAAAAAAAGCAGCTTATCATATGAGAACAAATATATAAAAATAAATTAAATCAGTGAAGTTAAGAAAGGATATGGTAGCACTGACTATAATAATCAAGCAGCAAAAGCAGAATCATTTTAATGTATTTCGGCACTTTCAAATTTTGGAAAGCCAAAATCTTGCTTTATTAACCTCATGGCTCTCTAAACGATTTCTGGTAATTAAAACTTGTCTCCTAAAACATTTTTATGGAATGTACTTCTATATAAACATGTATGGCATGTAGATGTTCCTCTATATTAAGATAACTTCAAATAGAAATTATTGCAGTATAAAGTTTTTTAAAAAATCATTATATGCTTCAAACCAATCACTTATTATCTAAAGATAATTGAGATAATTCCTTAATGCCAGTAATAATTAATCAGAATTAATATTGCAAATAGATATTTGACTTAAGCTGATTATAACAAAGTAATATAAATTTAGTGCAGCATTAAATCAAATCACCAATCAGTTCTTAATATCCTAAACAATGCAAAAATATAAATAGTGGAAAAAAACAACTTATATCCAAAAATGACATTGCTTTAGCTTAAAGAGATGTATGATTTAACATAAAATATACTACCTCTGTGTAGTATGATTCATTAGGTAATAAATATGTCACAGAAAATCTGCCAAGGAACCAGACTAATGTTAATGCAACTTCAGGGCTAAGTAAATGGGTCAAGTTAGCCTCTAAGGCCCTTTTTTCTACCTCACAGAGACGAAATACAGCAGCAATCAGCCTAAAGAGTGAAAATACAGTTAACAAATCTTCACAAAATAATGATTTGAAACAAAATTTTTTTATTATTCATGCTTTTCATTTATGCTATAAATACATGCAGAAAAAATTATTAACTAAAACAAATTAAATTTTATAATAGAAAACCAAAGTAATAACTATTCTGAAAGTTTTTATAATCCAACTCCTCCCCCACACTTATTTAAATTTTCAAGGAAAGTCAACGCGATCCAAAACACATAATATACATTTAGAAACAACGATACATATGAATGACATTAGGTGTATGGAATTTTACAACCACTAAACTCAATACTTTAATGCTATAAAATAAATTCTATAATTCCATGTCAGTTTTATCTGCAAGAGCATACACACACAGTATTTTTTCTTCCTTCTCTTCTAGACTTTCAATTTTTGGGGTGCGTACTTGGTGGAGGACAGCAGTGATAAATAATTCATGTTTTGGTTTATTTGAATTAACTTGTATTTCTATTGATTTTGTCATCATCTTAAAATGAGACCCTTTAATTTGGAGAGAAACCAATTAGCCAGCATTTGTGCTCTCTCACTAAAACAAATAAAGCAAAAGAATTTTCTTCTAGAGGAAATGTTAAAAAGCAAATATATCCAAAAATTGCATTCATTATTTAGAATTTTTTAGCTTTGGATACTTTCTCATTATGCACACCCCCACAAGAAGTCACAATTTCATTGACAAAACATGTTTGTTTGATTACTTTCATGGCTCATTTTGTTTTAAGCCTCTCTAAATATGAACTTGGGAGGGGACACTGATCAGTGAAATCAAGGTTAAACATACATATAAATCCACACCAAAACACAACAGTTCTATCAAATGCTGAAATTGGTGCAAATAATCAACATGTGTTGACATTCTTTTCTAAGGTTTTGAGGGCTTTAGTATATTCCGCCACATATTTATTATATTTTTACTTTTTTCATTAGTTTATACGAGGGCCATCCAGGAAGTAGATTACGTTTCCGTCTGTGTCCGCTAGGGGCGGGGCTAGCGCGGCCATCTTGGGGTCAGAGCGTTGCGCAGCTCAGTCTGCATCTAGCCGTGCTAGTGAGAGGTTCGTGCTGTGCTCCGTTCAGATACTGTGACGGTTTGAAATGTCTGCGTTAATTGAAAATCCCGCGAGCTGCGAGGTGCGCTCAGTAATAAGGTTTCTGACTGCAAAAAACTGTAAACCGATAGAAATCTATCGGCAGCTTCGTGAAGTGTATGGGGACAACATTATCACTGAAGGTGGAGTGCGTCAGTGGGTCATAAGATTTCAAAATGGCCGAACCAATGTTCACGACGAAGATCGAAGTGGGAGACCCAGCATAGTGACCGCCGAACTTCTTGAAAAAGTCGATGCTAAAGTCCGTGAAAATCGAAATTTCACAATAACGGAACTTTCTTTGAGTTTTCCACAAATTTCGCGAAGTTTGTTGCACGAAATCATCAGCGAAAAGCTTGGTTACCACAAGTTTTGTGCAAGATGGAAGGCAAGAAGAGGTAACGAAGTGGTTGAAGGCGCAGGCGGCCGAATTTTTCGAGGAAGGAATTTCCAAGCTCGTACATCGCTACGATAAATGCCTTAATTTGTATGGTGACTATGTAGAAAAGTAGTATTTGAGTGTGGCTTTCATCTGTATATAATAAAATTTGTTTCCTATACTTTGTTTATTTTTTTATTCCAAAACGTAATCTACTTTCTGGATAGCCCTCGTATTTCACTTAAGTTGACTATTTTTGCCTTACTTATGTGGAGGCAAATACATTTATCTTAGCATGAAATTAAATATAATATTAAGTCATGAAATTCATTTCAATTACATACGAAAAGCATATTAGCTATTATTACTTCATAGAATAAAATTTCAGCAATCATTACTATGAATTTCATTAACATTTAACTAATAATTTTTTGTAATTACTTAATATATTGATTCCCACGATTCGAGTTAAAACGTCATTTTAAAAATATTCAGTTATTCTATATTCCTATCTGAACATAAATGAAGTGGACCCAACTCAATGTGAACATAGCTAATGTCATCATTCAGATATTGCTATCGACTCTCCATCTGTACACGATTCCCATCCATCTGTACATGAAAATCATTGCACCCTCTGCTGCTTGCAAGACAGTCACCTGATATCGCTTAAAATACAACATATTATTATTATACTAAATTTATGGCTTTTCATTTACAAAATAAATAAATAAAAATAATGTATATCATTTATCTTATTTTTTTATTCTACATAAATATAGTACCACCTGAAAAACTACCTACTGGATTATGAAGCATGTAACAACAAAAATAATCATACAATTGTTTTAAATTTTTTATAATGATTCTATTTTTTAGCTTTAGTAATAATTTGTTATATTATAACGTTATTTTATAATGATTCTATTTTTTAGCTTTAGTAATAATAATGCCTGGCTCATTGCAATAAGACATACTTTGTAAAATAAGTTTTCCTTCTAAGCTGTGAATTTAAACTTTACTAAGAATAAAAATACATATGGAAGTATAGCTAAAAATAGTTTCATGCATTTTTCTCAAATTACCTCACAACTGGGTCTGTAGTCATTTCTGCTCCTGGAATATCTGATGTTCTATGACTGGGTGAAGCAAGAACTTGCAGAGTAGTTTCAATATTCACATTTTCTGCTTGGCTTAGGCAATAATGGATGATTTCTGGTGGAATTAGAGAAGTTTCACCTTCACTTACAGATGAAAGTAAATGAGCTGTGGGAGGGGGGAAGAAAACATTAAATGCAAGACAATGAATTTCAACACAATTTTTTAAAAGCAATTTGTGTTTAACAAATGCATATTAATACTTAGAAATTTAGCAAATTTTTGCACTACATTGATGCGAATGAGATTTTGCATTTGCACAGGAGCAAAACAAATTACAGAACCTGTTTAAATGAGGACTAGACATTTACTTTTAATTATCAACAGTTGAACCTAAAATAAGAAAAAACATGCCAGGGGAAGGAGAATGCAACTACAAGTGTCTCATTAAATTATGTATCTTAATTTAGGCCTACTGATGCGCTACAGCTAGTAAAATTAAACTGAAATTGTCTTCTAAAGTAAACAATAAAAATTTCAGGTAACAAATAATAAATATTTATTTGAATTGAATTGCACATAATGATTAAATAAGGGAACTGAGTTTATTGTATGGAACTTTTACTATTGCTCTCACCAATAATATAAAATCAGTTGTAACATAAAGGTTTAGCTTATTGAACTTCAGAAGAATTTTTATGTTTGGTCAAGTTTTAACACTTCATGTGAACTGATGATAGTTATGAATAAATTGATGGACTATAGTTGCTGATGCGCTACAGTTAGTAAAATTAAACTGAAATTGTCTTCTAAAGTGAACAATACAAATCTCAGATAACAAATAATAAATATATATTTGAATTGAACTGTACATAATGATTAAATAAGGGGAACTGAGTTTATTGTATGGAACTTTTATTGTTGCTCTCACCAATAATGTTCACCAATAATATAAAATCAGTTGTAACATAAATGGTTTAGCTCATTGAACTTCAGAAAAATTTTTATGTTTGGTCAAGTTTTAACAATATCATGTGAACTGATGATAGTTATGAATAAATTGATGATTTACAGCAATTTCACAGTTTTTAAAAAATAATTTCCTAGAATGAACACTGCATAAATTGCGTAGATATCTTTTTACTGTATATTTCCTTGCTATGCATCCCTTCTTTCTCTCTCTCATTTTTACAATTAAATGCCCTTAACTTGTTAGATATAAATGTAGAAATGATTCCAGATATTAATTTTAAAAAAGCTCCATAAGTCAAGAAGGCTATAAACTGCTGAGATATATTAACACCATTGCTTATAACCATGTTACATACATTACTACTAATTTACTAATAAATAACAGAATTTGCTTTACAGCATATATACATATCCACTAAAAATGCATTTATATCAATGAAATGAACACTTCTTTAAAATGACCACATCCAGTTCTAGATAGTTTTGGTGTTCTGTGGAGATGTCTGCCTTAAGATGTTTAGGTTCTTAGAAATACTAGTAACTTACACAGGTGTTTGTCTCAGGATGGAAGTAATCCCAAAAGAGATCCTGTATACAGATATAAATGAAATTTAGCCCCATAAATCTTATCTTACAATTCAGAATTCCAGTAGAAAGCAAATATATACCATGGACTCTTTTATTCTAGTTTGATTTACTTTAAGGTAAAATCAACATGCTCACATTATTTTTAAATACTCTAAAAATGTAACATTGGAAGAGAAGCATGGCAATAAAAAATCAAAAATTAGGCACAACTCGGTCTTCGACTGAGAATGGTTTCATAAGAACATTCCATGTATTTCCCAGTATCAATTTTTCTCATAATGAAAAGAATTTTCTATGAAGTGGGATATTGCTTCATATATCTGATATTGCTAATTTTGAAATTTTAAAATTTATACATAACATCATTTTGTAGTAGGAAGAATAATAGTACTTCCAAAATTGAGTACTTCAAATTAATTATGACAATATTCTTAATTAAAATAAGTAAATTTTACACCAATTATTATTAATTGTTTCATTACAAGTTAATGAACATAGATATGAAAAATATGAAGCTCAATTAAATACCTGAAATCATTACAAGCCAATGTATATCTTCATTAAGCATATCTAAGATAGATGTATCATTGGTAGATCCAGCTTGATGGATTCTTTGAAGCTGACCATGCAACCTTGTGATCCTCTCCTCAATAAGCCTAAAAAAATTAATGGAAAATTCAAAATGTTAATTTAAAGCGCATAGAATATATTATTGATCTAGATATAAAATAAACTATATGATATATTAAAATAATGTTTTCTATATGAGAAAAAATGAAAATTCAATAATTGGCAAAATTTAACAATTATTAGGCATTAATTTCAATTTTCCCTCCACCTCCAAAAATGAGTTTGCATACACAGCAAAACAGAATACTCCTTTAGAAGCAAATATCATTCTGTAACTAAATTTTGTCAATTCTAAAAAGTTATTCACTTGCATATATTCATAGATTAAATATTTTAAACAGTCATGATTCCAGTATGCTCAATCCATATATTTTTAAAAATATAAATTTTAAATATAATTAAATAAATGTTGAAAATAAAATTGATAGATCCCATTTGACAATTTCACAGCTACAGCTAGAGTTTTCAGCGCCCTGAACAACTGAAGATTTTATGCCCCTTTCTGTGTGCCAAGTATGGAAAACATTTTATAACATCATTTTCACATGCCCTGGATGCTGTGGCTGGGGACAGATGTTTCCCTGTTGCCACCACAGGACAATTTGAAAGCAATGCCAATATATACAGTAAATCATGTCTACTTTAATTCTCTGAGTGACCAGGGTTTTCACTAAGTAAGCACAAATTTCCCAAAACTACTATGAGAACAAATTATTTTTTTGATTTTAATGTAAAAACTCTCCTGGTATTTCATACCTGGATTTGTGTACTTCTGATATATTGCCTTAATTTCTTTGACATATTTTAATATGCACATATATATAAGTTCTTACAGATATCACAAAAAATATTTTAGATATATATGGCCTTGCTGTTTAGAGGGTTCAAGCTGTTTCTATCAAAAAATCTTTGCATCTCAAAATTTATTTTCCTGCATTTTTATGATGAGCATTAGTCCAAATGAGCATTAGTCCAAAAGGGCTATTAGTCTTGAAGCGCCATTCTGCATCAGTTTACTATAAATGTCTGTTTCACTTTTCAGATTGTTGCTTCCAAACATTAGTGCCCTACATTATATTTAAAGAAATTAAATAATGAAGACTTTGTATAAATATATGTTTCTATCAACATATATTTATACAAAGTTGTGAAAAAACAACAGTGCCTACAGCCATCAAATTTTGAATAATGTAATCCTCCATCCAAATATGGGCACCTTGAAGCCTAAATTTGGAATTTGTTTTATCGTCCATTTCGTATTTTGTAAATTTGAATAAATATTTGATTAACAAAATCAGCGATTTTCGAAGTAACAATGGCAACACTGTACGAAAAAACATTTTTGTCTCCAATGCGCGAGACTGTCTATCCAAAATTCTAAAGATATGTTGTTTTTAATAATTTTAGCTCAAAGGGACATTAGCCCAAATTCTCTCGAAACATGCATGTACGAGTAAATAAATAAATAAAAAAGCCTCTTTGGACGTAATATAAAATCAGACAGCTTTCATATTTTTTTCAATACATTTTATTTTTTTTAATTCAATTTATTCTGCAAACTCATAATTTTCTCTCGGACTTTACAAAGCACTATTACTGCCTCAGAAGAATATATTTCAGCAAATATTTAATGAAAATATTGAAACCAATATGAAATCAAAATATAATATTCACTTTTTAAATATTATGAAACTTAAATGTGCATTATTGCTTTAAAAGCTATAAGATGGTGTTTTTTAAATTTGTATCTAAATTGTGTTGTCTCAGAAGTGCAGCTGAAATGCAACTCAGATATTATTGCTATAATACAATATATACTAGTATGTGAAGGCAGAAAACTTCTGATTCTTGATTAATATACAGACATTAATAAAAAGCATACTGAGTTAAGACTTATTAAATCGACATGTACATTCATTAAGAAGACCCACCTGACTAAGATTGGAATGCTGTGATCTATAACCATCCTTCCAAACATTCCTATTGCTGTTATCTGATCTCGATATTTGGCTCGGTCATCTTCTTCAACTTCGTCTATTTCTTCTTTCAAGCCAGATCCCTGTCAAATACAAGTTAAAATAATTCAAAGAGCATTAGCTATGGACATTTATAAACAATCAAGGTGAAAGAAATAATTACTGCTGATAACTTTGTTAAGCCCCTTAACTGCCACAGGCACATATATACGCCTAGCTCAGCCAATGCGTTAACTGCCACAGACGTTATATGTACGCCCTTCCAAAATACTATCATTTGCTTTGCACTGCTACCCGTAAAATTATTCGCAAAGCTTTGGAATGCAACACCACAATGACCTTGACAAAGTATGCGAAGGCAAATACTATTTCAGAGAAGGGTGGGGAGAAATTGGAGAGAGGGGTGTGTCTAAAGCGATGAAAGTAATGACTGCGCAGTATTCGCTGGTGTTGTTTTGAGTAAAACTTTTTTTTTTTTTTTAATTCTGTGTCCTCCGTTTTCGTTTACTTTTTGTAGTAGGTTCCAGGAATAAAGAAAGATATAACGGATGTTTCAAACCTATTTATCATTTTTGAATTATTTTTTGATGAACTGCTCGTGCTCCATATTGTTACTGAAACTAACCGTTTTGTAGACTAGTATATGAACCAACACCCTGCAAACAAAAAACCAAGAACAAGTTCAGAAGAAATATATGCTTTTTTAGGCACACTGATTTCACAAGGTATGACACTAAAACCTGATAATACAGCTTTACTGGTCTAAAAATGAATTGATCGAAACTCCATTTTAGGGATCTTTTCTATCATACTTACATCTTTTTATTATACTTTTACTCAAAACATTAAATTTTGTGCATTCATTTTTTCCTTTATTCTTTATTTTCTGAAAGCAAACAAATTTTAGAAAGTAAAACTTTCACTTATCCCCCTCCCAATACATCGCATAACTATGCGCGCCTATGTGAAAAACCGTGGCACTGGGAAATGAATTTTGTATGTTTTCCGCGGCAGTTAAGGGGTTAAAGAAAATAACTGACAGACCGTTGTTAATTCGGCATACTGTAACGAATTGGAAAAACTGTTGAAATGACTAAAACAGATTTCATTAATCTAAATGCTTTTTTGCTATTCAATTCATATTTGATTTGCTATTTAAATCACAGTTTCATTATTTTAGGGTTTGTGTGAGGGGAAGAGGCTAGTAAAGAGGAAGATAATTTTAGTAACTTGGAATAGAAACTTGATTAGTATTCTGAAAGATGCTAATTAGCAACTATATTAATATTTAAAAAAACTCTATTATTTTAAAACTTTTATTTCCAAAATGAAGTATTTTTTCACTTTAAAAAATAGCCCAAAATGTTAGCTGCAACATCTAAGGCTGTTATAATTAAGTATGAGAAACTGTATGTTAATGACAATTTTTCAAAGAGTATATAATCATAGTTTATAACAGACTTTAATTAAAGACAAATAATGCAATCTTTCATTTTAACTTAAATTGTGCATGTAATTAAAAAAAAAGCCTACATATGTTTTAGAAATTTGATTTTAAATAACAAATTGATATTGATAACTGGAAAGTTCAATTTGTACCTTTTCCCTCTATTTCGAATTATACTTAAAAGTACAGCAGAACATTATCTTATCAGAGATGGATCATTTAATTCTTTATGACTTTCAATTGAGCATTATATTAAAAGATAAACTTTACATGTGTGAAAGACAAAAGCAGCATTAACATTCAGACACCAACTAATAATAAATTCGTAATTATGCTTCAAAGGATAAAAGGCTGTAAAGACATGCCTCAAGAATGAATAGAGGTAGAAAACAGCAAATCAAATTTTTAAATTTTGAGTGATGAAGAAATCATCCTAAGTATGCTTCATGTTTTTTCAATTGAGCATTATTTTAAAAGATGTGATTTACATGTGTGAAAGACAAAAGCAACACTAACATTCACACACCAACTGACAATGAATTCGTAAGTATGCTTCAAAGAATAAAGGCTGTAAAGACATGCTTCAAGGTAACACTTCAAAATGCGTAGAGGTAGAAAAAACCAAATTTTTAAATTTTGAGTGATGAAGAAATCATTTATGCTGCAGATATGGAGAATAAAAAAAAAATGCAATGATGAGAGTGTTAATAAGAATGACAGTGAAACAAAAGCAGACAAATGATAAAATTAACCACAGTGAATCCTTCAGCAAAGGCGTTTAACTTTCATGTCTTGATTAAGAATGACAGTGAAACAAAAGCAAACAAATGTTAAAATTAACCACGATGAATCCTTCAGCAAAGGCGTTTAACTTTCATGTCTTGATGCTTAAACCAAAGTTTAAAAAATGAACTCATGAAAAAATACATAATAATTTTGTGAGTCTAGCTAGTAATTAGTACTAACACAGATGAAGAACTGCATTTGTTGCTTTTAAATTGTTCAGTTTATTAATCAGTATATAAGAAATTAAATTAAAAAAATTTTCAGATGCTAAATTTGAAATATAAATACCTTATGTTTTGCCAAAAGGCAACACACTTCCTTTAAATAGCTAACTTTGTTAATAAAAAGTTCATTAAATTCACATAAAATATGAAATAAATGAAAAACAAATTCAAAATCTCGGCGCTGAGATGCACATGTTCACGCGAAGGACTGTGTTCAAAATCTAGTAGCTCTAGGCACCACTGTTTTTCCACAATGCAAAGGACACACATGTCATGATAGTATAAATGGCATGCATGTGCACTTTAGCCCAAAGGTGAATGCTTTTGTAACTCTCCCACAAGACACTGAGTTCAGATTACATGGAGAGAATGACAGGAATAAGGCTTGAGATACATTTTGTGCTGTAAGTCAGCTGAAATATTACATTATTCACTTTCTGTAAATTACATTTGTTTATTTGCTTGTGTTATAATAAAATGTTTGTCCTGTACTACCTAAGTATGTTTCATGAAAATGCCCACATCATGTCATGTACACGTTAATATGTCAAGAACACACCTTGTGACAGAAGTATCACAGCATTGTCAGAAAAGAGGGACATGTTTATAATGGATTACATGCATTCGAAGAGTACTAATGTTCCAGTAAAGTGCAAGTGATTCATCAGAAAAGATAAGAAGTGTTTTGTTAAATTTTTGGAAATTGAAGTTAATTTATAACAGAAATGACTGAAGCAGAACTTGAGAAGCATAAGAAAGAATAGAAAATTATTCATTCAGCCATAACTAAAGTAACAAGTTCTATTGAATCTTTGCTCCTTGTATATTGAAGATACATAAGAACAATTTTTTCTGAAGGGGGAAGCCTTAAATGAAAAAAAAAAATAGAGATATAATTTATGTAAACAAAAGTGAAATTAAAAATGCATTAAATACAAAGAAAAGATTGCAAAATGGAATTTCAAAGGCACAAAATTATTGAAAGAAAAAGGAAATGTTGAAAATTCAATAGTTTCTAATTCTATCTTCTCATGATAATAGTAATGTATTTATTATTTCTGGTGTTAGTAATAGAAGTTCTGATTACAAGGTTAAATTGCCAAAAATATGATTGATAAATGTTATGGAAATGCTGAATTGTGGGAAACATTTTTTAATTCTTTTGATAAGCAAAAAATAAAAATGAAAAGTTAACGAAAATTGGAAAATTCAATTATTTGCTTAATTTATTAAGTGATACAATTTTAAAACTGTCATTTTTTTAGTCTGTCACTGTATAAGAATTTTCATTATCTCTAGAGAATTATGATGAAACACTTAAAATTCTTAAGGATAGATTTGAAGTTCAAATAATATTCAAGATTTCAGAGAATTATATGGTATCTGCATAATACAAATAAGATCACTAAATTCATTAGGAATGAAAACTGAATCACAGGAAGTTTACTTTATCCTTTGTTAATAAAATGTATTCCTAGGGATATAATGCTTGATTTTTGAAAAACAAAACAATTTTCCCACTCATAATTCTTTCAACACCAACCCAACTTTCAGCGCCAATCATTCCAATAAAGTAAACAAAATTGCAAGCTGCTAGACTTTTTCTTGTTTATTTTGTGGAAGCAAAGATCACATTTTGGAAAAACATGTTATGTCGCTGCAAAAGAAGAAAATGAGTTTAAAAGATTCTAATCGGTGCTTTCGTTGTAAGAATGATTCTAAAGGTAGCACATTACAAAATGGCAGTGTTTTGGATTCAGAGCTGTTCCAGCTTCAACAAATAAATGATCAATTGTTACAAGCATGCTGGCAAGATGCTAAAAATGGGTTTCATTGTTATCAATAACTTTACCATAAAGATAAAATTTTAGGAGAAAGGGTTCACCAGTTATTTGTTCCCAAAGGAAGGAGAAAATAAATTTTGGACTTGGATCATTATCTAGCTTACTGGGAGGCCACCTGCTACTGAAGAAGACAGAACAATTGAAATATTCTTCCTACTGGCATGGAAACAAGAAAGAAGTAAATGAATATTACAGCACTTGTACTTTCTGTCAACTTACAGCTAAAAAGTATCCTGATGAACTTCCTATTATGCCAGTAACATGGCCTAGAGAGCCATTCCAGATAATTAATGTGGATATTATTGGACCTGTGGAACTAAGCTGTCGAGATTACAGGTGTGTGCTATGCACTGTTGACCAATGTACAAGGTGGCCAGAAGCAGTACCATTGAAGAAAGAGTTTTTGAAAAGGATCGGATATTCAGAAAGGTTCTCAACCCCTTACCATCCTACTTCAAATAGCCTTGTAGAAAGATTTAATGCTGTTTCAAAGGGAATGATACATCATCATATCATGAAAGAATTTTTGCAAGATTAGGAGAAACACAACCCCCCATACCTGCTTTGGGTTTACCCAGAAGTCCCTAATGCTACGACTAGTGTTAGTCCCTTCCAGATGCTTTATACAAGACGTCTTAAGGGCCAATTATCTATCTTGAAAATGTCATAGACTGATGAATTCCTATTCCTCGTGGACAACTAATTCCAGTCACTGACTACCTGAATGAAGATGAAGTTAAAAAAAAGCGGCTGAATACGCAGGACTTACAGCTGATTGCAAGCAACAAACTTACGCATTCTACCATAACCATAAGGCACATCATAAAGAATTTGAGGAAGGTGACTGACTGTTTTATAGTCTTAATCCCCTGATAGTGAAAACGTTTAAAACTGTCTTGCATAAACGAAAGTTTATGCAAGACAGACTGGACCTGCTACAATCATCAAAAAGCATACTGATTATAGTTACATTGCGCAAAAGCCAAATAATTTGAAGTATATTCACGCAAACAAGATTGCTGTGAATAATATCGGTGTGATACATGATGCAGATACTGATTTTGGAAAAGTTCAAAACATTCCAAGAATTGTTCCACTACAAACTCAAGAACACTATTCTGATAAAGAGTTTGGTCTTACATGCCTTAAACCACAGAAAAGAATTCGTGGAAATTTTAAAAAAGCATGCCTTTAAAATCTGGTATTCTAAAATTCTCCACTATTTGAGAATATAACATTAATTTAAAGCCTAAAAGCATACCAAAGCAGAAGTGCACCAGATACCCGAAGTTCTAAAAAGTGAAGTTGATTGACAAATAGATGAGGTACTACAGCTGGGACTCATTGTTGAATTCATTGTTTTTGAATCAGAAAGTGAATATGCACATAAAGTACTTTATTGTGTCAAAGAAAGACATATCTGTAAGATTATGTGTGGTCTATCATTAACTGAACTCACAAACTGAAACTGAAGTCTTTTAAGTAAAAAATGGCACAAACCTAATTTATCAAATGTCAAAGTCCAATTACATCACATTGATTGACCATCTAAGAGGATACTGGCAAATAAGACTAAACCTTAAGCACCAACACTTAACTTCATTTGTGACACATCGAGGACAATATGCTTTTCTAGTTTTATTTATTGCTTTTCTAGTCTTACTTTGGACTGAGAAGCAACACTGTAACAGTCCAGAGGACTATCAACAAACTTCTTGCCAAACATAAGGATTACGCTGAGTCTTACGTTGATGACATGATTATCTTTTCCAGTTGTTGAAATATGATGTAAAGTTAATAGCTTTGTGAACATTATGAACATCTTAATTATTCTGTTTGAAAACTTTTTTGAGATTAACTGCTAGACTATGAAATTTTCATAATGTTATGCAATATGATTAATATTTAGGAATAGTTTGGTAAAGCATGATAAATTTAACCCTGATAGTTGATTTGCATTATTTTGATTATGTACTTAATTTAATTTTAAAAACATAAAAAAAATTAATAGAACATTACATCTTTTAATGATTAAGATTATTGTATTTATGTTGAAGTAACTTTAATTGAAATTAGTAAGAACTGGTTAATTAAGGTAAAACCTTTATGAATATTGTAACTTTTTGTTTGTTTCAAGAAATGTTTACAAGTAGATTTGACAATTCATTGAAAGACAAAATAAAAATTTTTAGGGGGGAAGGTGTCGTGATATGATAAATGCCACATATGTGCACTTCAGCCAAATGGCACATGCTTTTGTAATGCTTCCACAAGACATGAAGTCAATCAAAATTTATCCCCCCCCCAAAAAAAAACTCACTATTTATTTGGTATCACATGTTTCATTCACCATAAGTTATTTAAGTTACTTCATTTTATGTGCTAATAAATTCTCTTCAATTCTATACATAGATATGATTTCTTTTTCAGTTACGAAGTTAACTATTCAAGTCCTGTAACTGCAGTCTTGATAATTTCCACTAAATTGTCAGTCGAAATTTTTGCATTCTCATCAACCTCTCTATCACTTCCTTTATTATTGGTAGCGATGTTTTCTAGATTTAGAAGTTATACTACAGATTTCGATGTTCGTTGGTTGATTGATGATTAGGGCATTGCCATTAACACTTCATTTATTACCACTTGTCCACGTTTCTTCATAAATTCTATTAGTTTGGAAAGTTTTCCTTTTTGTTTGCAATATCTGAAAAACCTTCAAATTTACAGCTATCATCATAAAGCTTAACTAACATCCGCTTTACACTATTAGCAATGTATTATGAGATTTGTGACTAAATGAATATTGTTTCGCTAGATTTTGTATTCCTTTTGTAACACACTGGAGAAGTTAAGCTTAATTTAGTTATTTATTATACTTATACCTATTTCCCACACATGCTTATGACTTATTTCAGTTCCAAATAAATAAATTCACCCATATGCTTAAAGCTTATCCATGGAACGGTGCCAGACAATTGGCAGCCCTGTGCAGTCTCTGCGGGTCTGAAATTCAAGCTGCCAAGTACCTGTCTAAATTCTAAAAATTTTACCCGCCTTAATTTTGTTGGTCGTTGCTTTTCTAAGTTCACAAAATTTCATCTCCCCTAAATTCGGCTGCCCAATGCAGCACTGGCTTTGGTCCTGAAAATCAGTTACTTTCAATTCAAATAGCACTGAATGTAATCTCTTTTGGCCTGTAAATACCTATTTTCCAAACGTTTTTTTTTCATACAAAAAAAAAAAAAAAAATTTCTGTTAAATTTCTCCTCATCAACACATTCAGCATTTCGCAGCAGAGTTAGCTGAAGTCTGTAATCATCGTCAAGTGTAATTAGTGTCCACTATTCACTTTGGTATTCAATTACTAATATTAAGGGGGGAAATTTGTTTAGATTTCATTGCGTGAAGGATTTCTCAAGCTGCTCTGTGTTGATAGTCATGCAGTGATTAAAGCAAAATAATAATAATAATAAATAATGATTCCTCAGGGATATAAGTGTGGTGTAAAACCAACAACATTTCGAGGTAGAATGTTTCAGTTTGATATGTATGCCAAGCAAAAAGGTAATTACATATCCAAATTATTGATCATATCGATTTACATTAATAAATGATTGTTTCTTCAAAAAGGAGGTATTTTATTAGAGAAATTAAGAATCAGTACTCTCCAGCCGTTTTTATTATGAAAAAATATCAAATGTGGAGTTTTTTTTTTTTTTTTTTTTTTTTTTTAATGGGCTGCTGATGATTTAGAGATCAGTATTTTAAATAAGTCCGGATATTAGATAATGTCTGGATTTCATACTTTGTACTGCAGTAGATAGAACAGTTAAAATGTTCTCAAATGTGACCAAATAACAAGTCAAAGAGTTAAATTAGCTTTACTATTTGTGATAGATGATGAATCATTCAAGATGAATCTTGAAATATCAAGAAGCCTTTTTTGTGCAGTATCTATCATAGCGACATTCAAAAGAACATGAAGAGATTATTACAGCCCAAGGACCAAAGAGCGACCACTAAAAACATTCTTTAAATGCACGGAAAACAATCCTGTCCCAGTAATAAAACTGTGCCAATTGCAACTGATGGTACAAAATATAGATGGGAGCAACAAAAGATTTTATTTCAGTTTCAAAAGAAATAAATTAAGTTACTAATAAAAAAATCACTTTCAGTTGTACATTACACTAGAAATCCCTTTTCACACAAGCTTTACTGATAAAATTATGGAACTGGTATTTAAGACTACCAATACCATTACAACAAAGGCACTTAACCATCAACAATTTTAAGAGTTGCTGAATAGAATGAAGAAAAAGTATTCAAGTCTCCAGTATGACAAAACTTTTTAGATAACATACTAGAGACCTTTGCATCTTACCCATGTGAAATTAAACTATTTTTTGACAAGAAGATTCAAAACCCAAAATTAACAAAAGTCAGTGGTTGCCAAGTTTTACTTTATAGCAGATATTACATCAAAAGTAAAACAGCTCAATTGAAATTAAACGATAAGGAAAGTATTGTTTTTCAGTGCTAAAAACTGTTTCATGTTAAAAGAAACTGATTCTGTTTCCTGAAGATTTAGAAATAAGAACTTTGGTTCATTCCCCAAATGTGTCTCAATTTCACCAAGAAAACATAAAAGTTATTTGAAAACGGTAGTTTTAAAACATGAGAGAATTTTCTATTCAAAAGGTTTCAAAAATTCACTGATGAAATAATGATTCTAGCTTTTAATGCCAACTTGAAGAAATTAAATTTTTCTCCATTTGATACTGACATGGCTGATTATAAATAAAATTACTGGACTCAATAAATTTGATAAACAAAGACTTGTATAGAGCTCAAAATCTACAGCCTTAGTAAAGAAATAAATACAAAAACAAAAAAGCAGTCTGATTTCACAGCACAAACAGTCTGTTACAAAAGACCTATAGAAGATAGATTTCCAATATTTGGAATTTAGTACTGAATTCATATTACAAGTTGAAAACATATGCATTTGGTGCCCTCAGTATCTTCTGGTCTACATATTTATGTCAATATATATTCAAAATCATATGTCATTATATAAAAATCATAAGACAGCTATTGATTTTAAAATGATACACTTCAGAAAAATTTATCACAATATTTTATTATTTTTAAACAGAAAGAAGAAAATAAATGATTACAGGTTATAATTGAATCTAATACACATATATATATGTATATATATGTGTGTTGAAAAGTAATAAAAGTTATAGGGTAAGGGAGTTTCACTTTAAAATTGATAATTACTGTAATAAAGAAATTGCAGCTTAAATAGCAACAGATGGATACATGTATATACTAACCACAATCAATATGAATGAACACACTACAATGCATATGACTAAAGAATCCAAATAATAATTTAAAATGTATGTTTAAATATAAATAAATAAAACAAATAGCTATAAAAAGAAAGATTTTTTTAAAAAGTTTAACAATGAAATAAGAAAATCTAAGAGGGACAAAAAGAAATTTACAGTAATAAATGAATAAATTTTTCCCAAATTTATGGCAGCAATCAATAAATTTTAAGATAATGATATTGGTATATGCAAGATTTATAATGTAAATTTTTTTAAAAAATCCATAAAAGCTCACAAATTGTGTTACAAAGATTATACAAACAACTTACAACTGCCCGGCTTCCATCAGGAGGTGAAAGATGAGTTTTTAAATAATGATTAAAGATTTGAATGGATGATTGCCTCAAAATATCAGACGGATAATATTGGTTATCTTGCAGAATGGTTGACCATGCTTCTAGTAAATGATCAAATGCCTCCATATATACTTTGTCATCCTGCAACTGGACATTTTTTTTTAATTTTATTTTTTAGCAATTTCTACACAAGAGATCATTACTTAAAACACTGATTAATATATGTTTAAAAAACATGTACTCACCAATTCTTCTTGGGCTGAACGTTCAGCAAACTGACATGCTAAATTTGTGAGCTCTAGAAGATACGCCTGCACAATGTTAGCAGGCAATGAAGACAAAAATGTGGCAGGAAAAAAGACATGCAGCCTACTGATCATATTCGAAATTCCGATTGTTTCATAGTCTTTTAATGGACCACTGTAAATAATGATACAACAATAATTACAAAAAAAGTCACCACTTATAATGCACTAATATTTTTGGGTATAAAAACCTTAAAGGAAGTAAAGAATTAAAAAAAAAAAAAAAAAACTCATTAGAGATAATATTTTTAAGTATGTTACTGTGATAAATAGGTGAAGTTATATACATTTGCTTATTGTACTTACATACCTTACTTGGTATATTTGATAAGGCAATAAATACCTAATCATCTTTGCTCATTGCCATATCATGTCCTAGTATCATACCATCAGGTTCTCAACCAGGGCAAGGAGAATTTCATTATTTAACACTTTTATCGAGAGGGACAAGATAACTCATCTACCAGGAATATTCGATATGCACAAGGGACGAGATAACTCGTCCTCTACTCAAGGTTTTTCAGCATTATTCCAGCATGTCCTGCAATTTATTTCATCAACATTTTAGCATATAGCAGACCATAATATTTTGTCTTTCCAACATTTCTACAAGGTGGTGCCAGGAGCACAATTTGTAGTGCTTTCACTTTTATTACGTTTCTCAACGGTTCTTCACTTTCTCTTTCTCTTCTCGTAGGTTCTCTTTCACTTTTATTAAATTTCTCATTTTTCTTTATTACGTTTCTCTCTTCCTACTTTTATTACGTTTCTCATTTCTCATTTTTATTACATTTCTCTACTTTTATTATGTTTCTTGTTCTCTTTCACAAATCATCCGATATGTCGTACATGGGAGGACAACATTACTTGGACATAATAACAGCAACTTAGTAAGGCTACGCCAACACAGAAATTTATCGTATGTAATTTGTATAAAATTCACTGAGAGACTCGTTATCTGTGCAAAATATGCACATCAAAGCCAGCATTATATGTAGTACCTTGTTTTGAAAAAATATCATAGTTCAGAGAGATTCTAATTTATGCAGTATTTAGGATTTTTATTTTATTATTTTTATGTCTGTAAACACAAAAAAATCATTACAGTGGGAATTGTTATTGATTGCAATTGATTATTATTTTTCAAAGCAAAATTAATTTTTAAAGGAATTTGTTTTTTGTTTCAACTTTAGCACTGCGGAGAGCAGTGCAGACTCTTAGTGCAGTAAAACACTCAACCAAATAAGATTTCAGGTCATCGTTATTACTGAAATGTTTACCATTTAAGACATTTTGTAAACTTCAAAACAAATGGTAATCCGATGTTGCAAGCTCGGGGCTTTATGGCAGATGCAACATCACTTCCCAAGCAAACTCCAGTAATTTCATACATGTTGCTAAATATGTGTGAGGGATCGCATTGTCGTGGTGGAACACGATTCTTTTGAGGTTTACTAATTCCGGACTTTTTTCTTTGAATGCTTCTACAATTTTAAAATTTGTTGGCAATACACATCAGAGTTGCGCGTTTGCTTGGAAGCAGCTCAAAATACACAATACCTTTGTAATCTAACCAAATTGGCAGCATGATCTTTTTCTGGTGCAATTTAGATTTCAACATTATTTGTGCTGATTCATAATGCTTGGATCATGATCTTTTCTCATTAATGTTATTATAGGCGATCTCATTTCATCATCAGCAAAAACCCTTTTTAAAAAAATCTGATGTGTACACCACATAACTTCCTTGTACGGAATATTAAATTATACTCATTTTTTTGCTGCATTTCATTTAAACTTATTTCCTTTAATATCATTAGAGATAGATTTCTCTTTCAGTTAATTCAGTTCTCACTTCATGAGAAGGCAAAAATACATAAAACCTCAAAATATCTCTATTAAAAATTGAAAAATATAGAAAAACATAAAGAAAAAAATCTGAAAGTTCTCAGATTTTATATTATGCCCAAAAGGGTTCTTTTTTAATGTTTCGTGTATTACCTTTATTTATTAAATATCATGTTCTTCACACTTAAACCATAAAATTCAATTCAACAACAATATCACACACACAAATAAAGTAAATAATACTATATCACACTAAAGAATAATCATGATTCTCGCAAAAAGACCAAGTTGTCCAGGTTTTTCTCAGTTTTACTCACAACACATATCATACATAAACATATTAGACTGAAGTATGATCCACGTATAATTAATCAGGTAATTCGATAAAAAGAATAAAGAACAAACTAACCTATTAAGAAAAAAAATATCCATTGCATTCCGAATTCTAAATATTTGTTTACAAATTTTGCAAGGCCTGCCAGGAAAAAGATATTAGACGATTGCAAACACACAATTGGCAGAGATCACGTGGTTATTTTATTTTCAACAATTTCAAAAGTGAATTGATGCAAAATGCCAAAACGAAATTAATAGCACTTCTGGCAAATGCGAAAAGAACAAATTCGGCCAGCAGGCAAAAAGGCAGACAAAACTAAAAGTTTACGTTTAGTCCCACTCGGCAAAAAGACACTGAAGGTGCAGAATTGAACGTAAACTGATAAACTGACTTAATTCACTATTCTGCTAAGTTTCAAATGTAAAAAAAAAAAAATTAGGTTTAGCCTCACTTAAACAACTTTTAAATTGTTGATAATTCTACAATTATTGCATGCAGACTAACTAAAGGCATAAAAACTTTAACGGGAAGATAAGAACAACATAATTCAATCCTTTTCAAAGCCAAAAAATGAATAAATAAGAATTAAAAAAATTGAGCTCACGGAGCCAAATAACAGAATGGGTATATACACCGAAGAGCCATTACATTTTGATCACCCTTTATCTATAACAATGAGCTTGCCCAGGAACAAAACCACTGCACATGCGTGGCTGATATTGGAATATATAAAGCAGTTTTGCATGGTCTTTTCAATCATAACGCAATCAGCGACATAATGGGAAAAGCAGCTGATTTATCAAACTTCGTTAAAGGTCAAATCGTTATGGCTCGGCGGCTCGGAACATCAATATCAGAAATGGCGCGTTTAGTGGGCTGTTCATGTGCAGTTGTTGTGAGCCCATATCGAAAGTGGCACATGGATGATGTAACGACATGTCGCTGGCCAGCAGTGTGTCGTCGACAGCGCATTGATTCCAGAGAAAAGGGGAGATAGCTATGCATTGTTCACTGTGACCGAAGACCTATAACAGTGGTGATCTAGACAGTGTTTCTCAACACACTGTTATTACATTATTACATTGCCATGTGTGGGCCTACGCAACTGGAGGGTGAAGCATGTCCCTGCACTGATGGAACGTCATCTCCACCGTCTACAATGGGCCAAGAAACATTGGAACTGGACATTAGAAGAATGGAAGAAAGTTGTATTGTCGATAATCACATTTTCCGGTCCATCACATAGATGAGCATGCCCTAATATACCAATTTCCAAATGTAACACTGGCTCCTGAATGCACAGTTGGACAGAGACAAGCCCGTTGCAAGGGTATTATGGTGTGGGCAATGTTTTCATGGAACTCATTAAGACCCACAAACCTCCTAGAACAATCCCTAATGTCTGTGCGCTATGTGAACGTCACTGCAGACCAGGTTCACACATTTATAACAACAATATTTCCGGTGGAGGATGGTGTTTACCAGAACAGGATAATGCACCATGTCGTAAGTGTTGAATCATCAGGGAGTAGTTTATCTTGTCAAGTCATGTCTTGGCCTCCAAATTCACCTGACATTAATCCAGTAAGAGCACTTGTAGTCCCATCTGGAAAATCAAATTCATGCTGCCACGCTACCATCTCGCAATGTGCAGGAATTGCAGGGCCAGTTGATGAGCACTTGGTACCAGATACCTCAGACTATGTATCAGCACCTTGTGGAGTCAATGCCACGTTGGGTGCTGACAGTTTTGAGGGCTAAAGGTGGTTATCTATGTTATTAACAGGATGGTCATAATGTAAAGGTTCTATGGTTTATACATATATAAATATATAATTTATGGACTTTGTATGGCCGATTGCAACCAAACAGGGAGGTGCACAACTATATGTTATAGTAGCCCTATATACAAAATTTCAACGTTTTGAGGCTACTCATTTTTGAGTTATACGAGATACATACATGCATACATACATACGTAACGTACGTATATAGAGATGTCATAAAAAAAACAACTCTTCTAAATCCATTTTAAATCAATTTTTGAATTCGTTTGAGAAAAAAGAGTCCTTTATTCTGTCCTTACATATAGATGTCATGCAAAAACATCGTTAAATTGCATTCAATAGTGGTCAAAATGGATATTTTTGTGAAAATATGATACCCAGAATTTTTCATGATTACAATACTTCCTTTACTTTGTACAAGAAAGGAAAAATGCCATATTTTTCGCTGTAAGTAAAAGTTAGAATTAACTTCATAAATTAAATACATGTAATAGTTTTAACAGCTGATTTGAATTCATACAATCGATTTTAATATAAAATTGTTTATCAAAAATATGCTTATTTTTTCACATAACACAACAGAAAAAAGAAACTGTTAAATGGTTAAAACCCAACATATGATGTATCCTAAAATCTTTTTTCCCAATCCTAAACAAGTTATATAAAATCTCTATATTCTGAAAATAAGTAATGAACAAAATTACTTTTGTGAAAGACGTCAATTAAGGCAGAACCACAGAAAGTACATTAAATACCGATATAACAAGAATTCATTTTTAGAGGAAATGCTTTAAATATTGTGATTCTGAAAAAGCATTTATTTTATGACTGAAACATCATCCAACAGAAAACTACATACAACTGCATTATTATATTTAAGAAAAGTACAAAACACAAATACTAATAATTTATGCAAAATAACCTCAAAAAAAAAATAAAATAAAAAGATACATATTCAACAATTTTGAATTGGCATTTCAGAAAATATTTTTTTAAAATTACATTGAACTTATTTGATTAAGAGACAACAAGAAGAAAATAAATGCAATTGGTGGGAAAATCATTTAGATACACAGTAGCATAACTTTAACCTTCCCTAAAACTAATCTACCATGCAGCTTTGTTGGGAAGGGGAACTCTAAAATGGAATACATATACTCTGTGACATAGTTCACATTATGTCTTATTACCTTGTTAATAGCTGCAACAAATTTTCAAGAAATCGTCCAACATATAAACACCTGTCTTCCTTTTTACTAACAACACTACCATTCAGGGATGCTAACTGGTGAAAGCACTGCAAAGTATGATGACACAAATCTGGGTTATCCCTCACTTGCCAATGAAGCTATCAAATAACAATAATAATATAAATAAATAAATAAATAAAGCTGCATGGAATTGAACAATAATTTTGAAACACAAAATGATGTCACATACAAACTATACTTTAAAGAAACAAGACATGAAATACGTACATTATTCATGAAGAAATGTAGTAGAATAAATCATCAAATAATTATTGATCATTAAATAACTCATATATTTAAAAGATGTTTTCAAATGGTAAACCAGCAAGTAATTTGTACCATCCAATGAATATATTATTCTTAAATATATTTTCAAATCTATTAAAAACATTCACAAGAAGTATTTCATAAACATCTGTCAGCACACCACAATGTAAAAATCTTTCCTACTATATACCATTACAAATTTAAAAATTAAACAGTTCCATTTAAATGTACTAAAATACTGTATCCATTGTATTTAGATAAACCTTCATATTTTCAATTAATATGCCTGAAATAACATGTTTTATAATATTATGAATATAACTTTGCCTTGGGGAAAAAAAATTACAGAATTCAGTATAAATGGATAATTATTTCAGATATAAGAAATATTCTTTCAATTTTATAATATTCAAGAAATCTAAAAATAAGAGAAAAATGGAATACAAAAATTCTAACAAGCATATAAATAAAATTAGAATTTCAGCTTCAATAAAAGAAGTTTGTATGTTACATCAAATGGGTTAAAATTTTAAATCCAATTACAGCCTAATGAATTCAAACAATATTCAGTTGGATTTTGCTTAATCTTTATTATCTACCAACCAGCACAACTTTTTTTATTCCTACCAAGATTGAAGCAGTTATACTTCTTTAGAAGATAAGACTTTTTAAGAAGTTTTATGATTGAGAAGCCAGCCATTCATATGCAAACAACAAAAACTCTAGAAATTTTAATGAGTATCAATAATTTTCAATTTAGTGACTGCTGTAAAATATATAAATATATTTCTCATGTAAGATTTCTCATGTTTCTGTAAAATATATTTCTCATAAATAAAAATGTGTATCCTGAAACAAGTGGGTGTGAGATGCAAGAATTTCACGCAGAGCAACATTATGACGATAAAGAAGAATGACAATTATGGACATAAGAATGCAATTACATAATAATGAAGATGAATCAGGCTGTCATATATTAAGTGAAGCATACATACAAGGTGACAGCAGTCGTGAGTTCCAATGAAGATGAGAAAAAATGAAAATTCAAGAAAACATTTCAACTCTGTAACTCAGTATACAGCATGAAGCAAAAATTATAATGCATAAGTATATTAAGAACATTTAAGATATTTCTGGATTCATTAATAAAAGAAATGAGTTGCCATACAGTTCAGAAAAGACAGATAATTTCTTTGAATGGTTTAACTCAAGGAAAATTACTTTCAAAGTAAATTCATCTTAAACAACTGTAGTTTACTGTAATTCATAATTTTTTATTATTAACCACTTATTGTTTATATAAATATTTTCTCTTAAACATATATATATATATATATATATATATATATATATATATTTAACAGAAACTATAGTAGTGTGGATTATGAAATTTCAGAAATTTCCACGTTTTTCATTACCTCTTTCTGTTGACATACACTTTCATCAAACCAAACAGCTATCATCCCTAAACAATTCGAATTAAAAATGTTCTACTGCATATATTAATTAGATAAGTATTATAAATTCTATAAATGCAGTTTGCTGAACTACAGAATGATAAATATTATAGAAATATTTTTATTTTCATTTTACATAATACTTTTTGGTACTGTACACTAAAACCAAGTCTTATTATTAAAAACGAGAGAAGTAAATGTTGAAATTTATAAACTGCCACATTAATTTAATAATGTCAGGTTTTAATATAGATAATAAAAATAGTATAATTAGAAAGAATTAAAAATTTCTTGCATTAATTATTGCTTAAATTTAAATAAAATAAATAAATCTCCACAAAAAACAATATTCTTTCTGTAACTGTTATTCATGAAGAGAAATCATACAGAAAAAAAAAAAGAGGAACACATTGAAATCAGCAATTACATATATGTTATTAGAGGATTTAATAACTATTTCTGCTTAACTTATAAGATGAAAAACATATCAACAGATTCTATAGATACAGGTACTAGTAATGCAGGTTAAAAAATTACACAGGAATTCTAGAATTAGGGTATATAACACATAGCATTAGTGTTTTATTAATTATGTTAAAAGTATAAATTTTGCTATAATTTGTTAGAAAATATCTATTTAATATAAAATTATATTATTGTAACTAACATGTACATCGTTTTCAACATAATTTATTTCATTATGCTTATAAATAATGTACTATTATGATTTCAAAATTAAATGAAAGGACATCTGCAGTATCAACTGGTAATAGCATAAAGGACTTTTTTTTGGGGGGGGAAGGCAGGTGTATGTGTGTTTTTAGCTGTATTTCCTTCAAAATAAAAACACTTGAACTTTAAAACCTAAAATTCTAACCTTGAAGAACAGTTGAACCACATTAGGATCAAGAAATACATCATGCCATTCTGCACTTGGTCTTAAAGCTGGACATTGTTGAGATTCAAACATTCCAACAAGCTTTCGTGGTACTACAATATGATATTAAGGAAAGGAATATATATTAAGAAGAAAGAAAGTATATTTTTTATTTCATATCAAAACCTAAATATATATAAAATTTATTCGCTTTTCATACTTAGAATATAAATAATTGTTGTCTTACAGCTGTTGGTAAAAAACCTATTCTACTAATACATACTAGATAACATCTGGCTAATGTAGATTATGCAAACACACAAGGTTAATTTCATTAAAAGGTAACATACAATGATAATAATGACTGCGATATTTGTACATGCGTGTCTTATTTCGTTTAAGAAGTAGAATGAAATGAGTAATCATTTTCTGTCACCTAGATTAAGTAATCATGATTCAAATTCATTAAATGCTATACAAGTATTTACAAATATTATTGCAACTTGCAAGACAGTTCACAAATAACAACCAAATGCACATTTCTTTATCATGCTAAAACTAAAAACCTTCTTTATCATGATAAAACTAAAAACCATTGTCTGTTTTACAAATAAAATTACTAATATTTTCAATATAATTTAGGAGAGTTTTTTAAAAAAGTCATCAAATGAGTTTTGATTATTCTGCACCAGATACACACTGTATAATGACAGAAGGGAAAAAAAGTAGTGGCATAATATACTAAATAAGTAAAAATGAAAAGTATTAAAGATGTGTATTGCAAAATAATGTAAAATCAATTTATTCAATATAAAAAATACACATTAATTAAGTTATGTTACTTGGATTATGCCAAAACACAGAACAGCTATCTACCTATGGGAAGGAATGCCTTTGAAAGAGGACTTTTTATGGCAAACTAGCTTGTATTCATGTTATACATGGTGAAAAATTCTCATGCAGTCAACTTGTTCACCTGGACTTAAAACTCAGGCAGAACTACCACTGTTCAGCGACCTTATCACTTGACTATCTTATTAGGAGCAGAACTTTTATCACAATATTATTTACTAATTATAGTTATAATTATATTTACTATTTTACTAATTACTATTTACTAACTATTATTACATTAATTAGTAATTATAATAAAAACATTACTATTATTATAATAATTTAATAAATATTCTGTTTCATGCATTAAAAGCTTTGAAATTTTTTGAAAGTGCATAGTCAAAATTATTCTTTTTGTGAGAAGGAGAGAACAGGAAATTCAATGTTATGAAAAAAAAACTTTCAATGAATTATGTTTAAAAAGGTACGTTATCAAAAAACATGCAATAATTTTGAAAAAAACCAGAAATGTAAAATTAGTTCAGATGTTTAAAGTCATAATATTTGCAAAACTAGCAAAAAGAAAGAATTTGAAATTGCTTTTTTTCTATTCTTTTCTTGCTTCTAAAATTTTTAATAAAATCATAAAATAATGAAGAATTTTTTTTCTAGACAGTTTTGTATTAGATCAACTTCATGTTAAACTAAGACTGCACTTATACTGCTTGTAACAATTTTTTTATCATAACAATAGCTTTTTAAATTTTCCGTTTAGCAGTATTTAATGATTAAAAGCAGTTTAATATATTTCATATACATTTAAAGAATTCATAAGCTAAATACAAAATCAAAGGCAGCCTATTTTTGCAAATTCAAAAATCAAATTTTAATACAAAGGATACAAAGCATAGCAAACTGAAAATTCCAAGTTAGAACTTGTTCTGCTATTATTAGGAACTTCTTAAACAGTTTTGCTGTTTCTGGTGGGATTGGGCTGCCAACTTTATTCAATTCACTAAGCCCTTGCAGACAAAACTGAAATAATCGTTTCAAATCCGATTTCTGAAAAATATGATACAAGAATGCATTTATAATTAAAAATTTTCTTTAAGTATGTTTCTAAAATTTAATAAATTTAAAAAAAAAAAAAAAAAAAAAAAAGAATACCTCAAACTTCCTTTTGGCTTTTAGATGAGCTTCCCATGTAAGACCAACATCACTAGCACGAGTAGAACTTGAAAACTCATTAAGTAATGCTGTGAGAATGGAACATCCTATAGTTTGCTAAATAAAGGAAAAAGACAATATTAAAAACTATAATAAGTTATATTTACCTTAGAAACACATAGATTCTTATTTTCAATGCACTTCCAAATTTTGAATTTCATTTTCAAAAACTATATTACTGAAAACTAATAGAAATTTTGTTTTAAGCAGTCAAAACGATATGGACCGTTTATTTTGAAAGCGGTGTTAAGATGATTTTTTTGTTTTTTAAATTGAGAAATCACACAATTTATTTATAATTTAGTGTCCCCATTTTATTTATAAACAATTCACAGTTAGTATTTTACAATATCGATATGCTTTGATCAATTTAAAGTTCGTCAATAAATGAAACTTTGTAACAACTGATTATGAATGTGGTTGTAAATCTATTGTTCAATTATTAGTGGTGTAAGAATTACACTAATGCTTTTGCATTAAGATGTTTGACCCATTACATATGAAAAATATAAGGATATGATGCAGTTATTGCTTTATATATCCCCTGTGCATCATGAATATTTCAAAAAACTTCAACATAATGAGCCTAAATGATAGACACTATCTAAGGTTAAGCTCGCAATAATGATAAACTTATTATTAAGTAGTTTAACAATAGTAAATCTTTTTAACCTAATATTTTATTTTTTGTTATAGTTTTTTTTATAAATATAATCAAACTAAAACATTGCATTTCAAGTAAAATTAATTTTTTTATTACTGCCATTAAATAATTTTTACAATTCCATAATTATGCAAGTGGTGCAGTTTATTTACAATCCACAAAGAATATATTATTTTAGTTTAATTCAAAAGTAATTTATGTAATTAAATTACATATTTCTAAATTCGTTGAAACATTGCCAAACAATTTATTCATACAATTTACACATATACAATTTATTTACATTTTTGAATTGACTAAAATGCTAACCTTTAAATATCTTAAAAGAAGAAAAAATTAACTTACACCCCTTTTAAAATAAATGGTTCATATCTTAAATTATTATCTATAATGTAGGTTTGATCTTCATATTTTAGAAAAAGAATTTTTAACATGAAAATTTGAAAAAGGTTATAGCACAAAAATAACCTCCAATTTGCGTTATCCTGAACATACAATGTGTTCACTAATAACCAAAATGAAATAAAGCTTTTAAATAATTACATAGCAGTTCATACTACTGATGATTCCAGTTTATATTAAGTACAATCCAATTATTTTGCAAAATATATGCATATTTCTTTACTAAGTTTTGAGCATTACCGTTTCTATAGAAAACTAATCAAAATATTCCTTAACTAAACAAACTTCAATTTGAATACCAGCATAAAGAACTTTAAACACTTTTTGACATAATCAGTTACTTTTAAAATTTAACAGCCATACAAATGATATGAAAATAAAGATTTAAAAAATAACTTATAAATGAACTTGCAAAAATGTGAATAGAATAAAAAATATTTAAAAATGAAAGATTTCAAGTATCATTAAACTTAAATATAAATAATAATAATTTTAAAAAACTGTTAAACATAGCAAAAGAAATAAATTTTAAAAAAATTTAGACATTTTTATTATTTACTAACTTGATAATTAAAGAAAAAGTTATAAAATATTCTTAATAAATATTCTATGAAAATAACAAAAAGAGAAAAATCCAAACAGTGTAAAAATACATTAATAATTTTAAATAAACAATTAAAAAGAATAGCTCATTAGTTAATAATAAATGGAAAAAATTAAGATAGAATTTTTTATTAATTTTAAAAATCGGCAGTTTTTAAATATTTTTTTTTAGTTAACACTATTATACTACAAATGCTATGGCCTAAGCTAACTTGTTTTTCTTCATACAATCTGATGTTATAGTTTCTAAAGTAAATGTAATGCAATTAAAAAGCAAACTACCATTGATGAATCTCCACTACTGATTAATTGAGAGATTTCAGTCAGAAAATCAGCAACAATTTCAGAATTTTCTTCAACGCTTGCACGTTTTACCATAATAGCAACAACTAACAATAACTGTTCTCTTACATAGTTCTGCAAACTAAAGGGAAAAATAAGAGAAATAAGTAAATATAATGAAACAATAAAGCACTTTCATCAAAACTTTTAAAACAATACATGCAAGACAAGGGCTTCACATTGGAATAAATAAGAAAGTTATTTTTAATAGTAAATTTTATATCAGTATTCATATCTTTCAAATTAATATGATTCCATGTTTTCGAGAAATAATTTTTAGCCAAAAGATGCTGTTACAAGTCCATGTGTTTGATTTACTGGCTGAATGCATTAGCCAGTAAATCAAACACAATGTAAAAATGATGACTAGTTCAATGTTCTTTACTTAGACTTTTGGGCTAAACTATGCAATATGTTAGAATAATAGAAATATTTGATGGAGTATTAAATTCTCACTTTTCAAGTTTTGTAACTGAATTTATGCCTATAGCCTAACCTATGTAAATAGATAAAATATTGTTTAGGTTTTAATTTAAAAATTAAATAAAACCCTACACCATGCATATCATTCATATGCACTAAATTCATATTCGACCAAAGTCATTTCGAAATATGTTGCAGTGGCCACCAAAACAGAATTTAGAATCTACCTAATATTTGAAAACAGTACTTTTTTTAACTTTCAGATTAGCACTTTCAAGTATGTGAAGACTACAAAAGGAAAGCATCTTTTGATAATTTAGCAAACTGGAACTAAAGACAATGAATAATAATAATAAAACAGCAACATCTTTTTGAAACACACATTATCAAAAATAAGATGAGAATTTAAAGGGGACAAAAGATGATTTAGAAAATTGTTTGTAATAGTCAAATGGGGGGGGACAGATCTACATGATTTATATGAAAAAATACAAAATTTGTTTGAAGATGGCTCAAAATTAGAGTCAGATATGGAAACTTCTATAAAATATAATGATAAAATAATACCAGTGAAGTCTAAAATCAGCTGTAATTTAAAGAAACTCAATACTCAAAATACCAATGAAAATTTAAATAAATACATCTAATAATTTATCTATGCCTGTTGAAACCAAAAGGCAGACTGAGGGTAAAGTGAAAATACTCAAAATGCTAATTAAAAAATCTTATAAAGAAGGTAACTATTGGATGCTTTTTTGGAATTAAAGTCAAAGTTATTATTCAGGAAAATGATACGCTTTCAGAACTTAAAACTACTTAACATCACTTAGTTTGGCAAATGCTGCTAAATACAAATATAGTTTGTGAGTTAAATTAAAACTTACTATTTACTTGCCTTTTTAGTATTATTTATGTATTTTTTATAGATAATATCTAATTTCTTTTTGATTTATATGCATAATTCGTGTCGGGGAAGTTTTCTGTAGGCAACAGTTTCTAAATTACTTTGGTGTTCTACTCTTAATTGACCTTTCATTTTAATTCTAGTCATTTACTTGCTAATTTCTCAAAATTACACTTGTTTAAATTTATTTTTAGTAAATCACAACATTTGACTTCACTTTTGGTTTTGAATTTTACCTTTGACCTTGCCTAAATGGATGACGAAACACGAATTGAATAATTGAAGAGATAGGTTTGGAGGCAACTCCCCCTTGATAAGTCTGTCTCCTGCCTGCTCAGCAATTATTCACTTATGCATTTCTATAAATTTTTTAGGATTAAAAATTTTTTTTGGAATTATATACTTGTTCCTGGATTTTGATACTTGCACTTGATTTACATATGCTCTCAAAATTTAAATGATATTGTAGATTAGTTCGCAGCAATGATTAATCATTTATTTGTTTGAAATTCAATTTCATTATTTAAAATTTAATTTACTTTAAATTTACTTTTTACGAATACAGAATGTTCAATTTATATATATATATATATATATATAATGTTGTATGATCTTAAATCCATTTAGTGCGAATACAAGTTACTACTACTTGCGCAGTTGCTGCAAAGTTAGTTAATAATAATTTATTTCCTAAACAGAATTGATTAATTGATTATATTATCTCCTAAGTTTAATTAAAGTAGAATTATTTTAAAAGTGTGAATCCATACTGGTAAGTTATATTTTGAAAGATGTTTTGAAGTAATTTGAAATAATTCTACTTTATAATTTTAAAATAATTCTACTTTAATTAAACTTAGGAGATAATATAATCAATTAATCAATATACCGTTTAGGAAATAAATTATTATATATATATATATATATATATATATTGAAATGTAGAATCTTATACATTATTTGTGTTGTGCAGCAGGGGCAACAGGAATGAGACAAATTTTGGAATATAAAGTCATACATTTATTTTAGCATCCATCTCACAAGCGTTCCTCCTGTACCTCCAAGAGAAGCCCTATTTATAGACATGTGTGCATCATGATGCTCATCCAATCAGCGATATTAGTTGAAATCATGAGGTGACGCTTCCTTCTCATCAGGTGTGTTCTTAAGGACTTTACGTAATACGACAGACTTATGAGTTTAACGATTTGGCGGGCGCCAACAGGTTAATATAATTTATAATAAAGAAAGGATTTTGCCAAAATTTAGGAACAGGGATGCAATTTATGTAGAGAATAGCCAACACATTATTATGGAATATGATTGGAATTTAATTTAATCAATTGATTTATAAATATCATTACATATAAGTAAGATAAAAAATCTGATGTGTACACCACATGACTTTCTTGTACGGAATATTAAATTATACGCCTTTTTTCTTGCATTTTCTTTAAACTTATTCGATTAAATTAAATCTTTTTCGCCAACAGCGCATAAACCACAATACAATAAATGCAGTCTTTAAAATTCACTCTATTTACCATAGCGACACTCTGGCGCTAGGTTCACCTAACAGTATTATACATCGTTCATATTATAACTCAGAATGCACAAAATTTATATCATTTAAAGAATCATCTAATCGTTGCCACGTTCTATTCAAATACTATAATAAAGCTAGACCGATGCATAAAAGAAATTAAGCAAACAAAACAAAAAAGAAACAATTTTTCACAGACGATTGAGTATTTCTCATTCAATTAATTCAGTTCTTACTCTGCGACAAGTCAAAAATACATAAAAACTCAAAATATCTGTATTAAAAATTAAGTAAATATTAAACACTTATTTCCTCGAAAAAGAAGGAAAATTTAAACACCTGGAAATAAATATTAAACACTTATTTCCTCGAAAAAATTCCAGAAAGGATTAACTGCTTGCCTGATTATCCCGGGTCCGTATATATTGCAGTTAATTATTATCCCAAGAAAACTCGGGCAAAGCAGAATTTGTCAGTACGATTTGTTTTATCATGGTTTCACTCGGCTTCGAGGAAATGAAAGAAAATATTCAGCTTTTATTGGCATTTTGCCAAGTTTTGATGGTTTCACGGTTCTTTTGGCGGGACTGGTCACGTGTTTTCCCTATTGTCTAGTATACGTCGGCTTGTGGATTAGTAATGTATAAAGAATGATAGTTGTGTTGAAGAAAGTAAAATAATGGTGATGATGCAAGATAGCGAAAGCGATGATTTTTCAGATAGTGATTATAACCTCAAGGCATTTTCCAGATGTTATTCCTGCTACTGAAAAAAAATCAAATCAAATCCAATGAGACAGTGTCCTCTGTGCTCCCACAAAAGAGGTTCCAGAGGTAAGCCAGTAAGAAAAGAGACCAGATTACCAGTATATAGAATGTTAGATATCACTTTGTGTTGTCCATTGTTTCAAAAACTCTCATACAACGACTAATATTTAATTTTTTTTATTTGCCCGAGATAACTCGAGATAGTAAACTAATATAAAAACTAAATGCTTTTACACCTGTAAAAAATTAAAAATTCAACTTAAAACCTATATATTTTGTTTTGTTTTGTTTCCTAGTATTTAATAATAAAATAAAAAAATGTGATGATTTTTTTGCAATTTTTTTTCAAAAAAAAAAAAAAATGTGTAAGGGAAGCGGTTAAGCACGATTTAATTCGCAATAATAAATGAAGGCGTCATTTCATTGCGAAGCTATGTTTCTCTACATTGGCAACAAATACACTACTCTGCTGTTTCAAATGTAAACAAGCAATGGCCACCATCAAAAAAATTATTAGGCTTAGCGGCACTTAAACAACTTTAAAATTGTTGATAATTCTAAAAATATTGCATACAGATTTACTAAAGGCATAAAAACCTTAACCGGAAGATAAGAACAACATAATTCAATCATTTTTAAAGCAAAAAATGTACAATTTATAAACATATAAGGGTAAAGAAACTGAGATCACTGAGCCGGGTAACAGAGTGGATATATATATAAGTATATTTATATACGTTTGGTGCGATTGCAACCAAAATACGAGGTGCACATCTACATGTTACAGCAGTTCCTATATACAAAATTTCAACGTTCTGAGGCTACTCGTTTTTGAGTTATGCAAGATACGTACGTACAGACGCCACAAAAAATTCTCTTCAAAATTCATTTTAAAGAAGTTTTATAATTTTTTTGGAGGAAAAGAGTCTTTTATTCTGTCCTTACGTAAAAACATATCATGCAAAAATTTCGTTAAATTGCATTCAAAAGTGGTCAAAATGGATATTTTCATTGAAATATGCTGCCTGAAACTTTTCACGATTACAATACTTCCTTTTTACTTCGTACAAGGAAGTAAAAATATGTGAATCAAAATTGTAATTTAAACTTACGGTAAAACATTAATTCTTCCTCTCTATTCTAAAACTCGTAATAACTTCTCTGCTTTGCGTTATTTCTAGATCTTTCCTTTTCTTTCTTTTTTGCATGACCTACACAGTGCTGATGACTACCATTGTAAACCAAAACTTTTCTCTTTGCGTGCTTTTATCTTGCATAACTACACACTTCAGCTTCTGTCTGTGCTGTGCTTGGACGTAATTTCGCTATTTATTTTGTTGACAACATAAGAATTTTGAAATTATTTTGAGAATGATGTTTATATGAAACATAAATGAAATAATTATTAAATGGGAGAATGTTAAATATTGTTAAAATTAATATAT